GAACTGGTATTTTCAGAAGAGGGAAGTCAGATTGGCAGCATCCTTATTTCCTCATTAAAGGCATTCTGTATGATTTTGTTATCTTGGTTTAAGCAGCTGACTTCTTATCCTGCAATCCTATTGATGGACTTAGCAGTCAACCTATACTCTGAAACTGCTTATTACTGAATACAGGTTTTGCTCAGATACACAGAACATGCTAATGTAACATTAACATTGGGAAGCTTCAGGCTTCATGCACACTAGCATTTTTTCTTTTACGCTCAATAACCGCTGGATAAAAATCACTATTAATAGCAGTTTTTAGTAGCGTTCAGAAGCGTTTAGGAGCCTTAGTGTTTTATTAATGTTTTTACAGTAGCTGTTAGGAGCATTTTTGTAGCATTTGGCATTTTTTCTGCTGGGAAAAAAGCTCCAAAAAACTCTACAAAAACAATTTATTTTTTCTGCTCCTGGACAATGAAGTTCAAAAAAATGCTATTAGCCTAAAGCACTGTGCATTGACACATAGGATAATGATATTTAGCTTCCAGGAGCAGAAAATAATATGCTGATAACAGCTTCAATGGTAGTGTGCATGGAGCCTCATACCTCTAAGACTTTATTTAAGGCTGTTTTTATTTCAAGAATGATTTGTAAAAGCCAAACAAATATTTCAAGGGTTGTTGTAGGCAGTACAAAGTTTCCCTTTTTATGTTTTCCTTGTATTTGTTATGTTTCCTCCCACATTCCAGAAAGATCCCATTTTTCTTACTGAAATATGAGTACCCTATCCATTGGACTTTGAGTGAGAATTCTAGGCAAAAAGACGGGGCCCATTCACACTTGAGTTATCTGTTGGGGTGCATTAACACACGTGTTAACATGAGTATTGGCATGTGTAAAGTGCATTGTGTTGAGGCAGCGTGTTCATTCTGGAGGGGCTGGCAATGCATCACAATGGATGAAAAACCCACATGATGCTTTTTTTTTTTTTTTTTTTTTTTTTTTTTTTAGCAACGCAGCTCACCAGCTCAACACAGGGTGGTGTGTGTCTTGCATTGCTCTCTATTGAACAGCGAATGACACCGCAACATACCACACATGGAGCAACTGCATTAACCCACGTGGCTTAGCATGTAGTACCGCAACACGGGCTTAAAATTGTATACGTTTTACCTAAAACTACAGTGAAAGCAGCAAGGTTTGGGTTTTATAGTACTTTCCCATTAGCAGAATAGCCATCACGGCTCTGGTTAACATGAAATACCAAGTTTACACAGCCCTTATAGACATACAGTCATGGCCGAAATTGTTGGCACCCTTGATATTTTCCTGAAAATCAAGTATTTCACACAAAAAAGGTATTGCATTAACACATGTTTTGCTATACACATGTTTATTCCCTTTGTATGTATTGGAACAAATATAAAACAGAGGCAGAAAAGCAAATATGACATAATGTCAAATCAAACCCCAAAAAGGGGCTGGACAAAAGATTGGCACCCTTAACTTAATATTTGGTTGCACACCCTTTGGAAACATAACTGAAATCAGTCGCTTCCTATAACCATCAATAAGCTATCTGACATTTCCTCTCAACCGGAACTTAAGTTGGACCACTCTTCCTTTGCAAACAGCTCCAGGTCTCTCTTGATTGAAGGACACCTTTTCTCAACAGCAATTTTAAGATCTCTCCACAGGTGTTCAATGGGATTTAGATCTGGGCTCATTTGCTGGCCACTTCAGAATTCTCCAGCGCTTCTTTGCCATCATAACGTTGGTGAGTTGCTTTTGACGTATGTTTGGGGTCATTGTCCTGCTGGAACATCCCAGGATCTTGGACGCAAACCCAGCTTTCTGATGACTGGGCCCTACAGTTTAGACCCAAATCCTTTGGTAATCCTCATTTTCATTATGCCTTGCACACAGTCTGAAGGCACCCAGTGCCAGAGGGAAAGCCAAAACAATTTTCAAAACAGGGAAGTAACCTTGGCAGCACCTTATTTCCTCCGTAAAGGTTCTGTATGTTTTGTTCTTTGGTTTAAGCAGCTGATTCCGTTTTCGGCAACAGTAGATGGACTTTAGCAGAAAACCTATACTCTGGTCTGCATTATTCCACAAGAGTTTTGCTCAGATACACAGAAGGCTTTGTGGCTTACTCAAGTACATTTTGGCAAGCTTCAGTCTTCTGCACACTTTTTTGTCTTTTACGTGTCAGCATGGGGTCCTCCTGGGTCTCTATGCCATAGCGTTTTTCATTTAAATGCGTTCAGAAGCGTTTAGGTTCGCGTGACATTGAATGCTTTTGACCTGTAGGACTGTTTGAATTCTTTGGAACATTTTGGGGCATGCTTTTCTGCTGGGATCCGGAAAAGCTATTCTGCTTGCAAAAACAATTTATCAATTTTCCTGCATCCGTCCACGAAGTTCAGGGAAAATGATTAGCCTACAGTGCCATGGGCATTGACACATAGGATAATGATAATTTAGCTTCCAGGCGCACTGTGGACAAATATGCTGATAACAGCTTCAATCTCTAGTGGAGCATGGACCTCATACCTCTAAGACTTTAGATTGGCTGATTTTATTTCACAATGATTTGTAAAAGCCAAACAAATATTTCAAGGGTTGTTGTAGGCAGTACAAAGTTTCCCTTTTTATGTTTTCCTTGTATTTGTTATGTTTCCTCCCACATTCCAGAAAGATCCCATTTTTCTTACTGAAATATGAGTACCCTATCCATTGGACTTTGAGTGAGAATTCTAGGCAAAAAAGACGGGGCCCATTCACACTTGAGTTATCTGTTGGGGGAGCATTAACACACGTGTTAACATGAGTATTGGCATGTTAAAGTGCATTGTGTTGAGGCAGCCTGTTCATTCTGGAGGGGCTGGCAATGCATCACAATGGATGAAAAACCCACATGATGCTTTTTTTTTTTTTTTTTTTTTTTTTTTTTTTTTTTTTTTATGTCGCAACGCAGCTTTCTTTCAGCTCAACACAGGGTGGTGTGTCTTGCATTGCTCTCTATTGAACAGCGAATGACACCGCAACATACCACACATGGAGCAACTGCATTAACACGTGGCTATAGCATGTAGTACACCGCAACACGGGCTTAAAATTGTATACGTTTTACCTAAAACTACAGTGAAAGCAGCAAGGTTTGGGTTTTATAGTACTTTCCCATTAGCAGAATAGCCATCACGGCTCTGGTTAACATGAAATACCAAGTTTACACAGCCCTTATAGACATACATAGTGCAATTTTCTAGCCACATTCTCATAGATTTTGAGTGCAAAACAGATGGAGGCAATCTACCACAAATTGTATATTTACATGGCAGGGTTGTTGGTTGTCCTGATTCTAGTAAAGTATGTGTAAACCCTAACCAACGTTTGCATCTCAGTGGTGCTGATTTCCTGTAGCCTCATTCAGCAATGTCCTAGTCCTCTCTTCTTCTGAGAGTGTCTAATTATTTTGTGCTGGCCCAGCTCTTCCACCTTCTTCATCTCCCAGCGTTGAAGCTGAGGGGGTGGGGTGGGGAAGGAGCAAAGAGTATGCAATGAAGCAGTGATAGGCAACCTCTGCACTCCAGCTGTGATGAAACTACATCATGCCTCTGTGCCTGTCAGTCTTGCAATAACTCATGGGACTTGTAAATTCAGCACAGATGGAGTGCCGGGGTTGCCTACACTTGCAGTAGACCGGTATGTTCAATTCATATAGCCTGATATGTTTTTTTGTTTGTTTTTTTTTTTTACATTTAGCCCTACAGCAGGGTTTACTTTTTTTTTTTTTTGCTCGGAGGTTGATTTGGCTGCTCAGCAGGCGCTTATACTGACAAGTACTTCCATGTAAGGGTAATCTGAAATAATAAAGTTTTGTTTTGTTTTTTGTGGGGGGGTTCTCATTGTGGCTGGAGCCTCATTTACTCGTTCAGCAGATTCTTCATTGCAGGGCAACTTGAGGACAAACGTTGGATTTGTTTCCTGGATAGCTTTTAGGAGTCCTTTACTAACACAGTAACACAGCTCCAGGATTTTCTGATAGTTTGTCTCTTTCATTCCTTCCAGCTATATTCTCCTCTGCTGTAAATCTACATCTTTCTGTATCCGTTCTTCATTATAGATTAAGATGAACTCTATGACTTTGATTTGCTGTCTTAAATATTTCCCACATTTGTCTTGCTAAATGTTATGTAATAATAAGCAGGATTTTATTTTCTGTGAATGTGAATTCCATTGATGGGTAACTTCTGCTTATTAATTTGGCTTCTATAGGTTTATGTTTTCTGTGGGCATTATGGCTACAGCTTAAAGTGGACCTACAGTATTGCCCACATACAACCCCCACCCCTATCCTGACCAGTCTGATATATTTATTAATTTTTCAATGAATGACATGGGGGGAGGAGGAGGAGATTTGTAGTACCTGTGCTGCGGCATTTGGTCATCTGGCCTCAGCTATAGCAGCTTGGAGACTGAAATGCAGGTGAACCAGCCAGTCGGTGGAATTGCCTGATTACTGATCTTCCTTTTCGGCTATGAGTATGGAACCAAGTGCCTAGGCATATGGTCACATGACTATCTTTTATGGGAACTTGGGACTGGATGTGTTTTTACTATAGGTCTACTTTAAGATGTCCAGCTGGGGCATGTATAGGCCAATTAGGAACATATCACATTTCTGTGGGCAGTGCACAATCTCTGCAGACACCCTGTGGCTGACCATTCCTGGGGGAGGGGGACAAATAGATCATTCCAGCTGATTTCCAGATAAGTCACTGTTGATCCTCTGAGGTGAGTCTAGCACTGTAGGTTTCCGCTCCATTCATAAATGTGTATATTCTCCCTAAACAAGCACTCTTGTTTAGAAAACCTGCTTTTGTGATTGGATTTTCTAACTGCCATCTAATGCCTATGATTTAATCACCTGTCATTTCCAGAAATCGTTTTCTGTAAATACTGTTTTTCTGTAGAATAATGTCAGTGAACTGTGTTGTGTTCTATGCAGAATGGCTGTGGATGTTGGGTGTGTGGAGACTGGAGACTGGGAAGGTCGCTGGAACCATGTTAAGAAGTTCCTCGAGCGATCAGGACCATTCATACACCCCGCGTTTGAACCAAGCAATGAAGTGAGAAACCCCATGTTTACATTCTTTTGTCTATAGCTTTGCACTCTAGATAGATGGAATGAGAGTGAGACTTCTTTTCCGTGTCTTATAACAAGTGCTATAGTATGCTCCATTGCAATTGAGAATAAAGCTGAACTCCAGACACATGGCTAAATGCACAGAAAAAATATACTGTACATGTAGGAGCTATCTAACCTGCTAAAGGATTTGAATGTTTGTCAATTCAATCCTGAAATCTTTGTAGTTTTGTCACTTATCAGGACCCTATCTGGCAGATCAGAAGACCTGATTTTTTTTTTTTTCTTCATTTAAATCAAACTTAGGCTACGTTTGCAAGGACATTTACCACATCTAGTCCTCATGTACACTGGATGGTTTACAGCTGCTGTTTTTGGCTTTTGACGTTTTTTTTTTCTACAGCCAGTAAACTCCCCAGCATGTCATCCTATGTGTCCATGGACACACAGACTGTAATCAATTTTTGGCTGGAAAAAAAAGCAAGAACTAGTGGGTTTCTAGGAGTTTTTTTTTTTAGCTGTAAAAATGTGGCAAACCGTGGAAAACCGGCATTTTTGGACCTTTTTTTTTTTTTTTGAGTAAAATAAAATTATTAAACATGCAAAGACGGATAAATGTGGCAAAACACCGCTAAACACTAATGCAAAAACGTTGAAAAACTAACGTTTTTAACATGACTTTGCACAGCTAATGTTACCAGCGTTATTAAAACGCCCAGTGTGCATGGAGCCTAACAATGCCAGCAGCAGGAATCCAGCCTCCGAGTCCATACACTCAGTGACAGATTGTCAGTGGCAATAGCTTGTAGCTGTGTGCAGCCGTGATTACTGTAGGTAATCGCTGGCTTTTCAAACAGCCACGATAAGCTGTGGCCACCAACAACCTTTCATTGAAGCTGACAGGTTTGACAGCCACAGCTAGCCGTTCCAACCTGTCAAACAGAGCGGCAGAAATCAATAGATTCCCCCTGCTGACATTTGCACTGTGGCAAAAGATCCATGAAGATGTGGCCTGAAGGCCCATTCACATTGTTTTAACAGCATTACAACATTGGTTTGATGCAATGCCATTAATGCTTATTGGTTCTTTAACACATCTTGCCAATGCAATGCACGATGACGTACTACCATGGGTTGTAGTGCTCTGTGTTGAAAAAAATTGTACGTGTCCAAATTTTTAGTGTGGTCTTGCGCTTTGATGAATGGGCTATCTTAATGCTGAATTCCAGGAATTCAGCAACATTGCAAAAAGTGCAGGCACTCTGAGTTAAGACCAGTTAGGTGCATATCACCTCTGGAACCTATCTCTTATAAGTGACAGGTGTATTGCACTCCCAGAGTATACACTCCTGATGTGGAAGTAGAGACGTACACAGAGTAGCTATGCCCACCCCTCCTCTCTGCTGCCCATTCACAGAAGCCATTGTATTCTATGAGTTCACATAATACAAAGGCTTCTGTGAATGGGCAGCAAGAGAGGTGGGATAGCAGTGACTATGCTTTTGAAGGAACTAAGAGCACAGTGAGCAGCATTTTCTACATGAAGCACAATAAACATGTCAGATGTGAATAATAGAGATAAGTCTACAAGGCTGCAGGCACCTTGTTACACTTAACTCATTGTATGCCTGCAATTTTTGCAAAGTAGCTGAGTTATTGGAATTCAGCATTAACACAACGCATGTTAACATGCGGCATAACACCTGCTAACAGAATGCATCAGTCAGTCTGGAACAGTGTGAATATTCCACTCTTCAGATCTTGCCCTTCCCCCAGCCTTTGATTGGACAGTGAAAGGAGAAACATCAGATTTATGCTCCGCATATGACCACAGATCACAACTGATTGTATTTATGTGCTGCTGCTTCATTTCATAGAAGAAGCACTCTGAGCTGTGCTGTTCAGGGATTGTAAGACGTTGGTACCAAGTCATATTCAGGCACTTACTCTGCTTAAATGTAAAAATACATTTAATGGAGTTTTGATTACAGAACTGTATTTATTTGTGTTATATCTGCCTGAAGTTCAGCTTTAAGAGCAAACTGGTGATAAGAGAATTATAGGGCTATCATTATTGATATCCTTTAAAATGCCAGATATGAAACGTGTATGCAAATAAGGAGCTATGCATTCACTCTGGCTTCACTTGCTGCATGCTTGTTCTATATCATTGATTCTGAAACTGCTGAGGTCAGAGAGAGCCAGGCATCTGGAATTTTTCAGGAAAAGGTCGGCAATGTCAGCCCCCTTATTTCTCTCTTTCCAAGTTTACAATAAAGTAACACTGCCTTTTTTTCTGAGAAAAATGATAACCTGTGTATTTTTTTCTATGTTTGTTGTAAGTAGTTTAAAAACTTTTCAAATAGTCATCCATTTTTGCCCTATAGATATTAAGGGTAGGCCTTTATATGTGCCCTTGCTGAAATCTTTTAAAGAAAGTGCCTAATCTGCCATTGCTATAATTATGTGATCAGTCTTGGAAAAAACACATTGTACTCCAGTCAGTCTCTCTCATCCTTCCAGATATTTGTAAGTACTTTCCCAAAGATAAACTGGCTGAGGGCATATCGGGAATTCTTGATTCCATGTAAGCAGTTCCCGGTAACTTATATAGCGCTGTCAATTTTCACAGCACTTTACATATATATTGTACATTCACATCAGTCCGTAACCCTCAAGGGGCGTACAATCTAGGGTCCCTAACTTACATTCATACATACACATACTAGGGCCAATTTAGACAGGAGCCAGTTAACCTACCAGCATGTCTTTGGAGGGTCGGAGGAAACCGGAATACCCAGAGGAAACTCACGCAAGCACAGGGAGAACATGCAAACTCCAGGCAGGTGGTGCCGTGGTTGGGATTTGAACCAACAACCCTGGTACTGCCAGGCGGAAAAATGCTAACCATTTAGCCACTGTGCTGCCCATACATTGACTTTGGGTTGTGTAAATATCTGGGTGAAACAGTGATTATATTACAGGAACAGTGGAGACCTCCTGATACAAACTGTACTTTTGCCATGATTGCCAGGTAAAAAATAAAATAATTTTTTTGGCATAGAAAAACAGAGAATAAAAGTAGGGAATTTCTGATACAAACAGTACTGTGACCATGTTTCTCAGGTAAATAGATTTTCATTTTTTTGGAATAGAAGAGAATACATTTACAGAGCAATTCTGTCTTTTCATCCATTGAAGGACTCAGGAATTCACAAGCAGTCCATTAAATTACCATCTACGTGAGGTTTGAACACTGGCACACAGAAAAATTGTAGGCCAACCCACACCTCTAACCAGCATGCATCAGTTTTTTGCTAGTGTCCTAAGATGTTGGACATCTTTTATTCAGCTCTGCTGAAAAATACAGTTTTTTTGCTAGCCTTGTGTTTGTTTTTTGTTTTTTTCTTTTGGTGGCTCCTGTCAAGATTCTCGCTAACATCAGTGCTTGATTTGGTCTGTTTGTGCATCTGGGTGCTCTTCATTTTCTACATGACAGGCAGGAATCATTACTGGAGGCTCTGTGCCCCCCTGGTTTGCCAGCAGGCAGAACATATTGAGATCCGGCTGAAGGCATCACCAGTTGGGGATAGATTAAGCCTGGAGGCCTTTGTGGGAACTGGTCACCTGAAGATGGGTTCTCTTTTATCCCTGCCTATCTCATGGCGTATCTCCTTTTATTGATCAGGCTGATGTCAGGGTCTGTACTCTTGAGTCCTCTACTAGTTTCAGGGGTTGTTTAGCTATCTTTTTTGGGACATTACACCAGATATTCTCACATTTTTGTAAGATTGGTTTCCTAGCCAAACAACCTTATTTTCATCATGGAACCTTCCTTTCCTGAATCCTAAGGGTTGCGAGTTTAGGATTTGGTCCTTTAAATGGAGACCCTCTCTCGTGGACCTTTTGTTTGTCCATGGTCCTTTCTGGGGCCTTTTATTTTACAACATACAAGGGTCCACCTTTTATCTAAAGTAAATCTTATCACTATTTTAATTATAGAAAACTGACACTACACTGCCTGCTTGTACATACTGTTTTGCCCTGAAAATCTTACATTCTCTGTCTTGGGACTCCCTCCTCCATACGCTGGCATATAATGTTGACTAACACCTACTTGGAGAGAAGTCTTACCTCAGACAGTCCCCCTCATTGCACTCTGTAATCCATGGTCCTCTCTATAAGTCTCTACAACTTGTATAATGGGCTGTGGAAGAGTGGGCCAATCAGTTTCTCTGATTGAACAGTCCTCCCTTTCAACAGTGATCACATTTGCTCTGCATTTGTCAAGTAAACAGCACTGAAGAGCTTAAAAATAAATTTGTTGACACTGTTCTCTGATTTTTTTTTTTTTTTTTTTTTTTTTTTTTCTTCAATTGATATCTTCATATTGTTACGAAGGATAAAAAATATGGTATTGTGATCTGGATTACACAGTATAGGCCTAAATTACAGTAAAACTTTTCTCCAAGGAGGAGGGTTCAAGAGGTTTATGCTCTTTCCTTCCTATCTGGTCCACTCTGGCCTTAGATCACTTGCAGATATACAGCTATGAGGGTACAGAACAGGGATATCTAGGAACGCTTACATACCGGAAAGTGCACTGCTGTTTTTCATGATGAATTCCAGACATCAGGTACATTCCTCAAGGTATTCTACAAGCACAATTAACTTTTGTAGATAGTCACTTTTTGAGTTCAGTTCTGCTTTAGGACACACTTATTGGACAGTGCGTTTTATGCCGGCCATACACAGTGATTTGATAATTCAGTAAAATTATTATTTTGAATTTGCACGAGTACTTGTGTCTCAAAGAGGGATCATAGCATCACATTTTCCACATTAAGTGAAAAACACTCTTCAAAAACTTGGGAGGTGCAGAGTCATGACACAAATTCCAAAATAAAATCAACAATTCTTTATTACAAAAGTATAAAAATATCTATATGTTTAAAAGAAAACAGTTTGGAGGTTTTGATGAAA